TTTTCAAATACTTTTGAAAATCCTATCAAATTATTCTTCTCGTTGTACTTGCTACAAATCTTCCTTTGTCTGTTTACCTCTTGCTGGTTTTTTTTTTCAACGAACATTGCATACTTTTTAAATATGACATTTGACGCTAACAGGCCCTGCCCTCAGACCGGAAAACTATCTCTGATGAAATATGAGCTGACCCGGAGTATATTACCAACACACAAAAGTCTGCAACTTCTCTGATTCCTTGAAAAAAAAAACTGCTAGTGTAAGGCACTCTGTCGCCAATAACAACCCTAGAGGAACTCCTAATTACGCCTTTAAACATTTTGACTCATATTTTATTCCAAATTCCATAGGAGACATTGATTTAGGTACAGCAGACAATTTGTTAATAAAACTTCAGAAATTTAAATTTTAAAAAAATAAATAGAGAAGCAAAGTTTTTGTTATAAACGCAAACTTCATCATTTCTATGAGGATTCAAGCACATTTGTGCTGGAAGCAAAGGGCACCCACTACACAAATAACCTTTAAATTTAATCTCCTCTACTCTCAATTTCTAGAAAAAATGTGGAGATCGAACAAAAAATAGGCTAAAGTAGTGCAATATGTGGTATGAACGTGAACAACTTACAAATGTCATGATAGGTATCACCCTCCTTTACGCTGAACGCTATTAAACCAATAAAAAAAATCCATTTCTCCTATTAGACCCTTTAACACTCTCAGGTGATAGTAGTAATATAAATCACTTATGACTGAACTGATGAGACTCGATGCCTTATTGACTTTTGCACAGTGGTAAGTAAGCGACGACCGCTTTTCAGCTCTTTTGCACCAAATATGCTGACGATATATGGAAACTATCATCAACTGCTTTTACGAACTGATTTCAAGACAACGAAAACTAGAAGCCTCCAAATATACAACATGTGTACATGATATTAGATTATTTTTGATTGAAAATAGCAGATACAACCATTTGTAAAACTTTTTTAAAGTGGTTTATCATCAGTGCAATTAAAAGCTAATGACAGGTAATGTCAGGCATATATCTTTTGCATACGTTGAAAAAGTAGAAAAATCCAAAAATGA